ATGGAGACGTACTTACCTCTTTTAGATATTGGTTTGGTCTTGAGTTGTCTCCCCATTACGTGGAGGCGTACTTACCTTTGATGGGTGTGGTCTTGCGTTGTCTCCCCATTACGTGGAGACGGACTTACCTTTGTTAGGTATTGGGGTTGTCTTGAGTTGTCTCCCCATTACGTGGAGGCGTACTTACCTTTGATGGGTGTGGTCTTGCGTTGTCTCCCCATTACGTGGAGACGTACTAACCCCTGTTAGATATGGGTGTGATCTTGAGTTGTCTGATATGGGTGTGGTCTTGAGTTGTCTCCCCATTACGTTGAGACGTCCCTACCTTTGTTAGATATTGGTGTTGCCTTGAGTTGTCTCCCCATTACGTGGAGACGTCCTTACCTTTGTTAGATATTGGTGTGGTCTTGAGTTGTCTCCCCATTCCGTGGAGACGTACTTACCTTTGTTAGATATTGGTGTTGCCTTGAGTTGTCTCCCCATTACGTGGAGACGTATTTACCTTTGTTAGATATTGGTTTGGTCTTGAGTTGTCTCCCCATTACGTGGAGACGGTCTTACCTTTGTTAGATATTGGTGTGGTCTTGAGTTGTCCCCCCATTACGTGGAGACGTACTTACCTTTGTTAGATATTGGTGTGGTCTTGAGGTGTCTCCCCATTACGTGGAGACGTACTTTCCTGTGTTAGATATTGGTGTTGTCTTGAGTTGTCTCCCCATCACGTGGAGACGTTCTTACCTTTGTTAGATATTGGTGTTGTCTTGAGTTGTCTCCCGATTCCGTGGAGACGTACTTACCTTTGTTAGATATTGGTGTGGTCTTGAGTTGTCTCCCATTACATGGAGACGTACTTACCTTTGTTAGATATTGGTGTTCTCTTGAGTTGTCTCCCCATTACGTGGAGACGGTCTTACCTTTGTTAGATATTGGTGTGGTCTTGAGTTGTCCCCCCATTACGTGGAGACGTACTTACCTTTGTTAGATATGGGTTTGGTCTTGAGTTGTCTCCCCAGGAGACGTACTTACCTTTGTTAGATATTGGTGTTCTCTTGAGTTGTCTCCCCATTACGTGGAGACGTTCTTACCTTTGTTAGATATTGGTGTTGTCTTGAGTTGTCTCCCGATTCCGTGGAGACGTACTTACCTTTGTTAGATATTGGTGTTGCCTTGAGTTGTCTCCCCATTACGTGTAGACGTCCTTACCTTTGTTAGATATTGGTGTTGCCTTGAGTTGTCTCCCCATTACGTGTAGACGTCCTTACCTTTGTTAGATATTGGTGTTGTCTTGAGTTGTCTCCACATTACGTGGAGACGTACTTACCTTTGTTAGATATTGGTGTTGCCTTGAGTTGTCTCCCCATTACGTGTAGACGTCCTTACCTTTGTTAGATATTGGTGTTGTCTTGAGTTGTCTCCCCATCACGTGGAGACGTTCTTACCTTTGTTAGATATTGGTGTGGTCTTGAGGTGTCTCCCCATTACGTGGAGACGTACTTACCTTTGTTAGATATTGGTGTTGCCTTGAGTTGTCTCCCCATTACGTGGAGACGTATTTACCTTTGTTAGATATTGGTTTGGTCTTGAGTTGTCTCCCCATTACGTGGAGACGGTCTTACCTTTGTTAGATATTGGTGTGGTCTTGAGGTGTCTCCCCATTACGTGGAGACGTACTTACCTTTGTTAGATATTGGTGTTGTCTTGAGTTGTCTCCCGATTCCGTGGAGACGTACTTACCTTTGTTAGATATTGGTGTTCTCTTGAGTTGTCTCCCCATTACGTGGAGACGTTCTTACCTTTGTTAGATATTGGTGTTGTCTTGAGTTGTCTCCACATTACGTGGAGACGTACTTACCTTTGTTAGATATTGGTGTGGTCTTGAGTTGTCTCCCCATTACGTTGAGACGTCCTTACCTTTGTTAGATATTGGTTTAGTCTTGAGATGTCTCCCCATTACGTGGAGACGTATTTACCTTTGTTAGATATTGGTTTGGTCTTGAGTTGTCTCCCCATTACGTGGAGACGTACTTACCTCTGTTAGATATGGGTGTGGTCTTGAGTTGCTTCCCCATTACGTGGAGACGTACTTACCTTTGTTAGATATTGGTGTTGTCTTGAGTTGTCTCCCCATTACGTTGAGACGTACTTACCTCTGTTAGATATGGGTGTGGTCTTGAGTTGCTTCCCCATTACGTGGAGACGTACTTACCTTTGTTAGATATTGGTGTGGTCTTGAGTTGCCTCCCCATTACGTGGAGACGTACTTACATTTGTTAGATATGGGTGTGGTCTTGAGTTGCGTCCCCATTACGTGGAGACGTACTTACCTTTGTTCGATATTGGTGTTGTTTTGAGTTGTCTCCCCGTTACCTGGAGACGTACTTACCTTTGTTAGATACGGGTGTTGTCTTGAGTTGTGTCCCCATTACGTGGAGACGTACTTCCCTCTGTTAGATATTGGTGTGGTCTTGAGTTGTCTCCCCATTACGTTGAGGCGTCCCTACCTTGGTTAGATATTGGTGTTGCCTTGAGTTGTCTCCCCATTACGTGGAGACGTCCTTACCTCTGTTAGATATGGGTGTGGTCTTGAGTTGTGTCCCCATTACGTGGAGACGTACTTACCTCTGTTAGATATTGATGTGGTCTTGAGTTGTCTCCCCATTACGTCGAGACGTACTTACCTTTGTTAGATACGGGAGTGGTCTTGAGTTGTCTCCCCATTACGTCGAGACGTACTTACCTTTGTTAGATACGGGAGTGGTCTTGAGTTGTCTCCCCATTACGTTGAGGCGTCCCTACCTTGGTTAGATATTGGTGTTGCCTTGAGTTGTCTCCCCATTACGTGGAGACGTGCTTACCTCTGTTAGATATTGGTGGGGTCTTGAGTTGTCTCCCCATTACGTGGAGACGTCCTTACCTCTGTTAGATATGGGTGTGGTCTTGAGTTGTGTCCCCATTACGTGGAGACGTACTTCCCTCTGTTAGATATGGGTGTGGTCTTGAGTTGCTTCCCATTACGTGGAGACGGACTTACCTTTGTTAGATATTGGTGTTGTTTTGAGTTGTCTCCCCGTTACCTGGAGACGTACTTACCTTTGTTAGATACGGGAGTGGTCTTGAGTTGTCTCCCCATTACGTCGAGACGTACTTACCTTTGTTAGATACGGGAGTGGTCTTGAGTTGTCTCCCCATTACGTGGAGACGTACTTACCTCTGTTAGATATTGGTCTTGAGTTGTTTCCCCATGGCATGGAGACGTGCTTACCTCTGTTAGATATTGGTGTGGTCTTGAGTTGTCTCCCCATTACGTGGAGACAAACATTGAGACCGTCTTTGATATCCTCTTCATGTAGCAAGACAGCCTGTATACTTGTATTAATACACACTTAGTAAGTCACGACCATTAAGGCTATACGTGTATTCAAATTATATAACTGGTCTTATTATTATTCTCACTAATTTGAATATTATTTCAACAATGCTGAACAAAATATCCAATGCAATAGGATATGATGAGAATACAGGATAAAGTCAAAATCGTAAATGTTACATTTTCCTGATAGGAATTTCTCATTGCAGAGTAATTAACTAAATATGTTTGATATGTTTAAATGAAATATAGGTTCCATTAAAGTCATATATATAATAACAACACAACATCACTATTTTTTTAGAAAAATGATAAGAAGTATCGATTACAATTTAAACGCTTCTTTTCGTGTATTATGTTGATTTGTGTCCTTTAGCTGTCTACTTTTTTTTAAATCAATGGGTGTTTGTCCCTCATTGCCTTGATTTAGTTATTGTTTACGAACTAGCAATTACTTTGCCATTTACCCTTATATAATAACTGTTGATACACTCCAAACACCTCTAATTAACATACTTAGGATAAGATAGTGAGAATAGTACAAGTGTAACTATCGGTAACTATTATGATATGGGGGTATTGGTCTCCCTATACATATAAAAACAATCTTATCTTTCTCAAATTAGCATTGGGAATACAAATTATCCTGTCATAATTTTTCGTTTGTTACAGAATGAAATTGAATATAAATCAGCCGAGTCGTTATAACGAGTATCAGCTTTGTTTAGCTTGCCCTACACAAAGGACGTTTGTTTTGTCTGATTGATTACGTCATCATTGATACTTACAACTGTATCTCTGTTGTCATAGGAATATCTATCAGATGTGGACTTCCAGAAAATCTTTGGACTTGATAGATCGCTCTACAAGCAGAAACCGAGATGGAGACAGATCGAGCTAAAGAAGGAAGCTGGGTTATTCTGATTCATCCCCATTCCAGAGAAGCCATTCTGTCGCTTCATTGTTTCTAGCTTTTTGCGACTTTTTTTTTTTATATATGATGTATTTTTCTATTGGTGTATGAAGCTTCTTGAAACATTCAGATTGTAACATTGCAATTTGTTGTGTTACTTAATACGGTTAATTCATCCGATACTAAACAAACCATAACCACATAACGAATCCAATCATTTGAGTTTCCACGTCAAAACAATGACCAGAGCATTAGAGTATACGGCTGTGTATCAACAGGAAATAATTGAACATTTCTATTGTAATTCTCAAGCATGAGGTTCAACGCTCTTGTGCAAGTATATGGAAGGTGTTGCAATTAAATATATTGAAGCCGATTTGTCGAGAAGAACTGATATTTTTATTATGTACAGGACAAATACATTATGTACAAGACAAAGATATCATGTACAGACCCATTTACCAAGTACAGACCTATGCAATATGTAAATGCCATATATCGTACCCAGGCGGTTCCAAGTATCGTCATATGTACTTTGATTATATTTGAATGCCTATTAAAAGCTATACAGTGTTAGTTTAATCATATTGTGAGAACGCGCGTGTGGGGGGAAGGTTGGGGATACCTCTTGCGCTTCACAGCCTGAAAGGCGCCTCCCGTAGGTGTTATATATGGTGGGGGCAACTGTTGTACGATCCCTTATGAAGTCCGTGTTATAGTCTTTTATGACAGAAAGCACGTGCACTACCCGGGATAAGTCGACTGTTGTTTGGAAGTGAGTCACGTGCACGGTGTAGCGGACTGTTTTTATGACGAGGAACTGTCTCCGGCGATATTATTTAATTAATCTATAACTTTAATCAGTGAGCTGTAACGAGACCATGAACGCAGTCAGCTGTGACGTGATGGTGGACCTAGTCAGCTTAAAGTCCGTTTGTTGTCAACTGTAAAGGCGATTGTAGAGAATACTGCCAGTAGTTCGTTTGTTGTCAACTGTAAAGGCGATTGTAGAGAATACTGCGAGTAGTTCGTTTGTTGTCAACTGTAAAGGTGATTGTAAAGAATACTGCCAGTAGTTCGTTTGTTGTCAACTGTAAAGGTGATTGTAGAGAATACTGCCAGTAGTTCGTTTGTTGTCAACTGTAAAGGCGATTGTAGAGAATACTGCGAGTAGTTCGTTTGTTGTCAACTGTAAAGGTGATTGTAGAGAATACTGCCAGTAGTTCGTTTGTTGACAACTGTAAAGGTGATTGTAGAGAATACTGCCAGTAATTCGTTTGTTGTCAACTGTAAAGGTGATTGTAGAGAATACTGCGAGTAGTTCGTTTGTTGTCAACTGTAAAGGCGATTGTAGAGAATACTGCCAGTAGTTCGTTCGTTGACAAATGGAAAGGTTATTGTAGAGAATACTGCCAGTAGTTCGTTTGTCGTCAACTGTAAAGGTGATTTGTATTATCATAGCAATTTTCGCCACTTTTTTTAATATTAATGAGATTGAGATCAGCGCGTGACGAGCTTCGTGGTGTGATTGGCAGGAAGCGCAGCCATTTTTTCGTTAAACCAACCAACACCGCATGTTTCAGCACGCGTTGACCGCAACCTCATTGATATTAAAAAAATGAGGCAGGCTGACTGCGAAAAACTGTTTTTGGAGGAAACGGAGTTCATGTCCGCGGAAGGAGAATACATTTTACGTGCATATTATGAGGTTTTAAAAAGAAAAGTATCCATCTTTCCAACGGTACTAAGCATTTTCCCGTAGATCAACTAGAAATTTTGTTTTTGTTGCAAGGAAGTTAGGTGGGGTGGACATTCCGACACCGATAGCTTTCCGCCCTTCTCGTATATATGATCATTGGGGGGTGTCAATTTTACCGAAAGTCGTTCCAAACCCCTAAAACATGTAACATTACTCTGAACACCTTAATTTAGGTCTAAATATAGCTTTAACAAATTCCGAGGTCCACGTGGCCAAATCGAGGAATCGAACCCTGGCTGTATTGTTGAAGACGAGAAAATATTGCATAGACATGCAGAGTACTGTATCGGATAGCATTTATAAGTGAACACGCTATTTGGTAGGGACAGAAACAAACAATAATATGTTAAGTAATGAGTCTGTCCCTTATTCAATAACAAAATGAGAAATTACATGTTATTTATTGTAACGCTCATACGTTGTCATATTTTTAATATATTCTTCAAATAAATATAACCCATGCCAATTTACTTTGATCAAAATGCTTATACCTTGTATTTTATTTACCTGTGTTTTGCATAAATTTCCAATTAAAAAAATGTATTGCCTTCAGAAACTTTTGTGTTAAATAAAAAAAAAAAAAAAAGCCTGATTGAGCCTACACTTCGGCAATAGCCAATGCAAGCGACCTGTTTACGCACCCAGAACTATAACTGAATAAAACAGCTAGCTAGGACCCCCTGAAAGTAAAAGGACTAGCGTGAGCACTCGAACAATATCCAGCTGGAGAGACTTTTGTAGGTCCCTTGTATAACTTTAGTACAATCTAAGATTTATTCAGGCCCGTTGAACAATAACCAAGAGGAGCGACCGATGGAGCCCCCTAATTAATAATCAGCTGTTGTCGGCGACTAATGCAGGCCCCCTGAATAGTATACAATAGAAACGCCCACTGAATGATAACGAATATTAGCAACTAGCGTGGGGTCCCCTAACTAACCAAACTGAAGTGACTAGTTTGGGGCCCCAGATTAATAACCAACTAGAATGAGTAGTGCGGGGTAACCAATTAAAACAGGTATTTTGCCCCCTTCACTAACCTCCGATCATCAACCCGTAACCTATTCAACAGGAGCGAAAAGTTCCCTAAAAATAATCAGATTGAACAACTAGTGTAGGCCCCCTAAACAAAACCCAATACGAGCAACCGATAAGGGCCCGTAGGAAAAAACCCTGAGGAGACCATTGTGGGACGCGTTAGTTTTACCAACTCCATCGACTGGAACGAATTGCGTTGGCCCAAAAACCATACCCAATTGAAGCGACAAGTGTGAGCCCTATGAACAATAATAGAAAAAGAAAGCGATTAGTGTCGATCCTTAAACAATAACCAAATGAAACGATTAGTGTGGGCCCAATGAACAATAACCAAATGAAGCGATCAGTGTCGGCCCCATGAACAATAACCAAATGAAGCGATTAGTGTNTGAACAATAACCAAATGAAGCGATTAATGTGGGCCCCATTATCAATACCCAAATGAAGCGATTAGTGTCTGTCCCATGAACAATAACCAAATGAAGCGATTAGTGCCAACCCCATGAACAATAACCAAATGAAGCGATAAGTGTGGGCCCCATGAACAATAACCAAATGAAGAGATTAATGTGGGCCCCATGAACAATAACCAAATGAAGAGATTAATGTGGGCCCCATGAACAATAACCAAATGAAGTGATAAATGTCGGCCCCATGAGCGATAACCAAATGAAGCGATTAGTGGCGGCCCCATGAACAATAACCAAATGAAGAGATTAATGTGGGCCCCATGAACAATAACTAAATGAAGCGATTAGTGTCAGTCCGATTAACAATGACCAAATGAAGCGATTAGTGTGGGCCCGATGAACAATAACCAAATGAAGCGATTAAGGTGAGCCCCATTATCAATACCCAAATGAAGCGATTAGTGTCGGCCCCATGGACAATAACAAAATGAAGCGAGTAGTGTCGGCCCAATGAACAATAACCAAATGAAGGGATCAATGTGGGCCCCATGAAAAATAACCAACTGAAGAGATTAGTGTCGGTCCCATGAACAATAACCAAATGAAGCGATAGGTGTGGGCCCCATGAACAATAACCAAATGAAGCGAAAAATGTCGGCCCCATGAGCGATAACCAAATGAAGCGATTAGTGGCGGCCCAATGAACAATAACCAAATGAAGCGATCAGTGTCGGCCCCATGAACAATAACCAAATGAAGCGATTAATGTGGGCCCCATGAACAATAACTAAATGAAGCGATTAGTGTCAGTCCGATTAACAATAACCAAATGAAGCGATTAGTGTCGGCCCCATGAAAAATAACCAAATGAAGCGATTAGTGTGGGCCCCATGAACAATAACCAAATGAAGCGAAAAATGTCGGCCCCATGAGCGATAACCAAATGAAGCGATTAGTGGCGGCCCAATGAACAATAACCAAATGAAGCGATCAATGTGGGCCCCATGAAAAATAACCAACTGAAGAGATTAGTGTCGGTCCCATGAACAATAACCAAATGAAGCGATGATTGTCGGCCCAATGAACAATAACCAAATGAAGCGATTAGTGTTGGCCCCATGAACAATAACCAAATAAGCGATTAGTGTGGGCCCCATGATCGATAACCAAATGAGGCGATTAGTGTCGACCCCATGAACTATAACCAAATGAAGCGATTAGTGTCGGCCCCATG